TCTTCAGAGGATGGAGAGATTGAGACCATTGGGAACGCATTACGGCTGCATCGGTCTCTGGTCAGTACGTGTGCCGTACAGGGAGACACCTTCCACCTGGGGATCCAAGCCATCCTCAGTCACCTCAACTAAATGAGCTTTTTTGTTTTAATTATGTTTTTTTTATTTCAGTTTGCGTTCAGTATTTATGCCCACAGTTGGTTACTGTCAGCCTGCCAGAACTTTTCCACAGCATTAAAGAGAACTGAAGTGTCATTAAAAGCAGAGGAAATATTACATTAATATGATAGGTGCATCTGCTGGAAGTGCAGACAAAACACTGGCCCTATAGGCCTTACGTGGCCTTTTATATTTATTTATATTTCTGTTTAACTCCTTTGACCATTCACAAATGGTACACGAAACACTTCATGGCCTGAAACAGATTAACCCAGAAAGTTTTATCATTAACTCTAAATCCCTAACAACCGAAGCACAAGAAGCGCTGACCGGAGCATCGCAAGCAATAATTTGTTAACTAACTAACCAGACAGCAACTTTCAGAGACTAAAGCTGCCCGTGTTGGTTTTCATGCCGACTGCTGCGTCTGGGTGAGAATTACTCACAGAAACGGGAGAAGACGCAGCAGAAATGACGGACGATGGATTTTGCCAGCTATCCTCACCAAGCGGGTCCTGCCCCACGAACTGGCACAGCAAACTGCGTACGCTCTTCTGCTCAAAGCAGAGCATTCCCCAGATACGGTTTCAAGGTAAAGCAGCTGCGTGGCTCTGCAATTTATTTATTCATACCGTATGTGTCACGCACAGCTCATGTTTCAGCCGCAGGTGACGTTTCACCACCAGAACCCATTTTCGCGATGAGAGATTGCCCTTTGTGAAAATCGTATGAAAAATATATGACAGCTTCTGGGGTTTGGGGTTAGGAGCTGTGCATTGCCTACAGCTTGCATAATGTAAAAGAGGCAGAATCCAAGAATACAGATGGCTAAGGGTTGTGGGACAAAATAAATTAATTATAAAGTCAGATTCCGGAAAACTGGAAAAAAAAAAAAAAAAGAGAAGAATAATAGAAGTAGTAATTTTATCCTGAAAAATCAGCTCACAGGTAAACAAAGACACTGTATTTTACGCTGAAGACATGCTTTAGATGGTGGAAAAATAAGAAATTCTCAAATAAGGAAGAGAATTTTTTAGAAAGAGACCACAATATTTTTAAAGAGCATTTACACCATGATTGTCCATTTATCCACAGGGCTTAGATAATGCATATTGCGTCATAATTCACTGTTGGCTAAGTCTAATTAGTGTCCCTGTGTAAAGTTATCTTTTTACTTCTGCTGTAACTTATTACTTCAGCTTACACACAGTACTTCAAACCTAGGGAACAAGATCCCAGAATGTGCCTGTTTCCAGAAATTTCCCTCAAGTAATACGTCTCTAAGAAAGACTTGAGAAAAATCTTCACATTTCCCCAAAACAAGAAAGTCCATTAAGTTTTATGTCAAAGGCCTCATTGAAGAAAGTATATATCCTGAACGAGTTCAGGTGTAAATTCAATGTTCAGCCTTCTATTCAGGAGTTCAGAAATTAATTTCATTTTGAAATTATTTCAGAAGTTCCAACCCCAAGCAGAAGCTCAAAGGACACCAACAAAGTCTTTTGTGGCCACGGGGCACTGGAAGATTTCAGGATGTCTTATCACATCTTTACTGGGCAGGAAAAAGTGGGGAAAAAAAAAAAATCCACAAAGCTTTAATCAAACATCCAAATTCAATCTCTCCCCAACGAACTGCCTCCTTCTTTCTAATCACACATTACATTTGCATAAAGATAGCAATATGTGTCACTTAGGTTCTTGAAACACACGGTTTGATTAATATCATATGCTACCAATTAATAATTATGTGCAATTCTGTCTCAGACTTAATGAAAGCAAGACAAGGTGGTCATGGCAGTATTACAAATTCTAGTATAACACTTTTCCCTTACACGTTTCATGCGTCTAGAAAAAAAGGACTGAAAATTGAAGCTTTCCCTCAGTTTATTCTGCAGAAAAATACGTGTTGCTTATTTACTATGCCTTGTCAAATAAACACAATAATTTTATATATCAATTTCTACGCAAACTGTCTTTGGGTGGCGTTTTTTGTTTGTTTGTGTTTGGCTTATGTTTGATTCAACCTATATTAAACTAAGATGCAAAAATACAGACATAGAACAAACCAGAGATTAGCAAGAGTAGCGAGTCAATACCACAAAATTTCCCTGTGCCTGAATCCAATCTCTCCTTCTGAGGGCTGAGCGACGTTCTCACAACAGTGCCATGCCCTGCCACTCTTACGGATGGTTCACCCATCCTCATCTGCGACAACCTGATTGCTGCTGCCGACTGTCACGGACATTTTCAGAGCAGAGGAAGTATTAATTGCCTTGATCTTGTTAAGATGCTTACTTGCTGCTCAAATCACTCTCTTGTGTTTTTTCTCCATAAAGAAATTCAGAATAGATCGAGGCAGGGCAGCACTCACCTCAAGCAGTTTTGCCTCAATTTACTTTAAATGTAGATGTAAGAAAAATAAGAGTTCTCCGTGCAAACCAACCTCAGGTCTTAACAGACATAAGGAACCATACCAGGACCTCACTTCATAAAGCATACATTTAAGCATCTATTGAAGCATTTAGGGCACGAACCTGAGCACAAGAAGTCACTGGGAAACTCACTGTTATTTCAAACTGTTGCCTTTACTTTGAGGAAAGTAGAAACTACCCCCTTTGAATTAACTGGTGGCATTTATGAGGAGTCTCTGTGAAAGAGACTCTTTACAAAGAGCGATGCTGCAGTGTAACGTCTTCAATAGCTTCCTACTTTGTACATGGTTCTGAAAACAATTTATTCTGGGAAGGCAAGGAGAAATTCAATCATGATGGAAACCAAGAAAAAAACCCTGATAACCAAAATGAATATGAGTTTGCATTTGAATAACCTATTCTTATACATATTCAAAATAATTTGTTGAGTTAAGAAACAGTTTCTAAAACGTGAAGTTTCATTTCTTAGACCAAAAGAACCAATCCACTTCAAAAATACTAGTACCCCAGACAATTATTACTGAACAGGCTAGACAAATTCCATGTTCAACATAAAAAGCTTAACACGAGAGTTTTATTCTGGAACAAGATATTATTTTAGTGACCAAACTTATTAGGTTTATGAGCTACAAAGGTATGTAAAATAAAACATTGCACTGGACGGCAACATGCCAAATTCTAGCCGATCATAACACCTTC